GTGTGCAATTTCCGTTGAATTTGCCAATTTCACTTCAAAAATTTTAGTTCCATTTTCAATAAAATAAATAATTACAACTTTTATATTCTAAACTAGTTGAAAACCCGGTTTATTCGATTGGAAAACCCAGGTTTGTTCGAAAAATCAAGATTTCATAAAAACCGCATAAAAATATCAAAACGTCATTACGTCTCCAAAAAATGTTCACTCTACTATATCCGCCACTGCCTCGGAGAGAGTATGTAGTTAACAAGTAGCTGATCTTCGAGTGAGTAAGGAGACGCTTTCCAACATGCTTTATTATCGCTCACTCTTGTTAAATATTAATGCGTAAAAATTTGTATTTGCTTGTTAATGAAATAATCTGTCATTATTACAACCGTTAACACTATGTAAACACTCCAAATAAAGAGTTAGTACCACGATCCACTTTCACGGAGACAATCAGCATCATTCTTATTGGGGTAGGTAGCACTAATTTTACACAGCAGTTTTACTAGCACTAGGTAAAAGAAATTGTAAAAATGATTCCACTAAATGGAGGAAAAGTACATTAAAACGAAATAATATCAATTTAAATTCATAAATAGTTAACATGAAATCGTATTATTTGAATAAAGTTAAAATAAGCAATGACAGAATATCTGTCTATGTATACATTACTTTGTCAGCGCTTCCAAACCGTCTTGCCAAATTATCATTGAAACAAAACAAGCAGGACGGATCATAAATTGAACCAGATCTCTATCAGGATCACACCGTTTTTATTGCATTTGCGTGCAAAATGTCGTCTGAATCCCGAACATTTTCCACGAGAACACAGCTATTACCTATCATAATACAAACAAGCCACAGCATTACTTGAGTGCTCACCAGTATGGAATTTCGACAACTACAACTAAGTATTTTAATGTTCCCAGTTTTTTTTTCTTTCTCTTTTTATTTATGTACATTAGACTGCATCTCTCCCCATACAAAATAAAAAATCGGTACTATTTTTCCATTGGAATTATAAAATCTATTATATTTTAAGACGTCCACCAAAATATTTTGGAAAATATTAAGATTTAAGTGAGCTGGACCGATTTGAAAATATTTCTTAAATATTAAAAAAAAACCTCTCAAATGACAAAACGGTTTAAGCTTAAAATAATGGCATAAAAATATTAAAAAAAAATTAAAAAAAAAAAAATTTGAACGGAATCGTTATGATGAGATTTTTGATGCTGTTTTTTAACTTTTTTCAAAGATTGGTATAGGAAAAACTTCAAAAACTGAACCTAAACTCTTCCGATTTAGACTTAAGAGGTGTCATTGGAGTGGTATTTTCTCACCCTTTTTATTTCTTCGCTAATAAACTCATTCAAAGGATGAAAGAGAAAAGTAGAATGAACGAACGTCATTCAAAGTTGAATTAAGATGTTTTGGTGTATGAAAAAAAAATTGGAACACAAATGACATTTTTTTTTGGACAGAAATAAAAACAGTGTAAAATACCTTTCCACTGAGATCCCATAAGTCTAAATCAGAATAGTTTTGGCCCAGTTATTAAAGTTTTTCGTAAATCAATCTTTGAAAAAAGTTAAACAAACCACATCAAAAATCTCATTCTTACCATTCCGTTGAAAATATTTTTAAATATTTTTATGCAGATTTCTAAGCTTAATCTGTTTTGTCATCTGAAGGGACTTTCTTCAAAAAGTTCTTTAAGAAACTATTTTTATTCATAAAAAACTCCATTTTTGGAGGTATTTTCAAATCGGTCCAGCTCACTTAAATCTTAAAATTTTTCCGAAATATTTTGGTGGACGTCTTAAAATATAATAAATTTTGTAATCCTGGCGGAAAAATCGCAAAATTTTTTGGTAATGCAGTCTAATGTATATACAATCGATCTTTAGCAAAAAATTGGGGCTTTCAAAAATTACCGTTACGTTGGTGGAGCCCGTCCAATTTCAAAAATTTTCAATATGGCGCTTACACCAAATTTGGTCAAGATCGGTCAACTAGTTTTTGAGATACGCATATATCATATAACAGGCGGTGCCACCCTGATTTTCCAAAAATTTCTTGAAAAACAACTTCTTTGCTAAAGAGCGATTGTATATATCAATTTTGAATAAATATTGATGAATTCCTTAGCCGCACTGCTCAAAAAATGTGAAAGTCCGGTACATACATAAACAATATAAATTCAAGGCCGAATTTAAGAAAAGTCACCTAACTTCGACAATTTTTAAGCGATTACAATCAATAAGTTATCAGTTTATTTAAAAATAGATTTAATTTTAGATAGTTCTACATATTTTGAAATTGTGGAAATTATCGATGGTCAAAATTTAAAAAATTAAGAGAAATATGGGTTTTTTTATTTTACAAAACTCATAAGTCTACAAAATCGTATTTCCTGATCTACCTCAGTAGGTCATAATATTTCTCATAAAAACGAATAAAATTAGAAGATAGGGTCTTGAAATTTCCAAAAAAAAAAAACATTTTCGATGGGCACCCTAATATATTTATGTACATTAAAGTGGTCCAAAAATGTATGTAAAAAAATAAGGTCGCATTTTTAAAGCCGCCAGCCCCTAGGATTGTTCTATACCAAAAAAAAATATATCCCTACTTTTTTTATTTTGAAAAAAAGAACAAATTAGGGTGTGCTCAAAGTTTTCAATGTATCTTATATGGAGAAAAAACAACTTTTCGTAGAAATAGTGTAGAATTCTTGAAAACCAATAATTTTCGATCGGAAAAGTTTGCCTATCTTCAGGAGATTCCCGGTAATAATACCCAATTGTTCCTTTAACAATTTTTTCATATATTTTATAGGTCCTAGAAAATGCAATGGGGGACCAATAAAAAATCTTTAATCATAAAAAATGGTTAAATAAACAATTGGACATTAATATTTGAAGTCTCCTGAAGAGAACCACGGTTTTACGATTGAAAAATATTGATTTTCAAGAGTTTTATACCATTTTTACGAAAATGTGTTTTTTCCCTATATAAAATACATGGAAAACTTTGAGCGCTGTGAGCGCTCCCTAAATATTTTTTGATTTCAAAATGAAAAAATAGGGGTATATTTATTTTCGGTTCAGAACAATCCTAGGGGGTGGCGGCATTAAAATTCCGACTTTATTATTTTGGACCACTCTAATTTACATACATATATAAATATTTGTTCTAAAACAAAATCTCATTTGAAAAGCTACGTTTAAATAAAACGGCTCTAAGTACTAGTTTTCAAAACCCAAATACACATTCGTTCATACAAGAATACGATGAACATTCCAGTCTACATTATTTCTTCAAGAACATCAATAGCGTAGCGCACTTCACAAAAATGCTTTATCACTTTACCTTCAACATTTGTTCTCTCCGAATCACGCCACATTCCCGCCAAGTCGAAAGAGTTTGCAAGGAAATCCCTGTTGACACTGCTTTGTGGTATTTGCTCAACAAGTGTTTGCTTAGTCAACTTTTATTAAATCAACTATAGTCAAAGTGTGAGTGGAAAGTGATTGAAAGGAAGCGAATGAGCATAAAAGAAAGTAGAAACGAGACCATTAAGTCTAGTATTGGAAAAGGGGAAATAGTGTGCATACTTAAGTACTCGTAAGTACATCATATACATACATATATGTACATACGTAATAGATAGATACGTAAGAATATATCGTCGCTTGGTCCACAGTACCACTTATACTACTAATGCAATACTTAACCCATTTGAGGAGATGAAAAAAAATTGCATTCAACGGTGAGGTTAGATTTGGCCACTCTAGCCACTGCGGAGAGCACGTAGCACACGAAGGCTGGAAGCCATTTGTTTCTTTCCCTCCCTTAGGAATTGAACCGCCGAGTGCATTTTATGTATATCGAGCTCTAACCCCCAAAATAACATAAATAAGCGACATTTTTTTCAAAATTTCCTTTTTGATGCAGAAATATTCCTTGAGCATCTAGATGCATTTCTGCATCAAAAAGTAAATTTTGAAAAAAAATTTCGCTTGCGTTATTTTTGCGGTAAGGGCTCGATAGGTATAGAGCACAAAAAGTAGCGAACGTTCGCCGAGTTCAGGTCGGCTAAACAGTCTAGAAAGTACTTGTTGAAGAATTGGTTGCGCGTGTTGACCAGGGCGGGGCAATGCCAGAGATAATGTTCAATGCTCTCCACCTCTTCCTCGTCTCTGCAACTGCGACAAAAATCTTTGATGGGGTATCCTCACCCTTTTTGGTGTGTGCCCATCAGGCAATGCCCGGTGATTCTGAGAGAGGAGCGGTCCCGCGGAGTGAGAGCTGTGGTTCGCTTTACACCAATCTTTGGCCAAATATACCTGTTAGTATGGCAGTTGGTTTCTACCGCCCACCTAGTATTTACTTCCTCGATGAGTTCGGTATTTCCATCCCCCTCCTTTCCAGCTCGTCGGCTAAGAAGTTGCCAGGAATGTTCCTGGGTCCAGGGACCAATAAAACGGTCAAGGAGCAGGTTGGGAGTCTTCCTGCATTCTATGGCTGTCAACAGTTAACAGTAAATAAAAACCGTTGAAGCTTTAGTAAGTTTAAATAACAACAAGTAATTCAAAGTAGTTTTTAAGCAAAAAAAACCGACTTCAATTTTCATATAAAAATTTAAGGTTATCATTAATTTCTTCATGATCCAATGATCGGATTTAAAACAACTTAGTATGGGACCACCTGTGAGGTAACAACTTTCCTTTAAAAAAAGCATTATCGAAATCGTTTGACGTGGTCCAAAGTTATGCGGTAACATACATAAAAAAAGTTAAAATAAAAATAAAAATAAAAAAATAAAAATATTCCGACGAACTGATAACCTCCTCCTTTCTTGGAAGTTGGTTAAAAAGCTTGCGAAAAAAATTAGGTGAACGAATTTCGACAATCAGTCGGTAGTAGTTAATTTAATTACCGTACATACCCGTATACTCACCTAACATGCATTTTCCTACATTTCTATCATTTATTTTAAACAGGTGTCGGTTACGCCATTTGTCTAATTGATGTTTATATGGGAATGTACTACAACACTATAATCGGCTGGGCGGTATATTATTTATTTGCATCGTTTACCTCAACACTTCCATGGACGTCATGTGGCAATTCATGGAATACCAATAGTTGTATGCCGGTGACGAATGAGAATTTCACCGACAAGGCGACCACACCAGCAAAGGAGTTCTTCGAGTAAGTAAATCTAACAATACTCGTACAATTCATGCAAATATAAAATTGTATATCAAATTGTAATCTGAATACTAAATTTTTTATCTTACCTAGACGCATGGTGCTGGAGCAATACAAATCGGATGGCCTGAATTATATGGGGCCGATAAAGCCCACATTGGCTTTGTGCGTTTTTGGTGTATTTATTTTGGTATACTTTTCGCTGTGGAAAGGTGTGCGCAGTGCAGGCAAAGTTGTGTGGGTGACGGCGTTAGCGCCCTATGCAGTGCTCTTCATATTGCTAGTGCGCGGCGTCTCTTTACCGGGTGCAATGGAGGGTATTCGGTACTATTTGACGCCAGAGTGGCATAAATTGAAGAACTCAAAGGTAAATGTGTATGGCATATAAGTTTATACAAATTTTTATCTAAAATTTTTTGTTAATAATATTTTTATTTACACAGGTTTGGATCGATGCGGCTTCACAGATATTTTTCTCTCTGGGGCCTGGTTTTGGAACATTGCTCGCATTATCGAGCTACAATAAGTTTAACAACAATTGCTATCGGGACGCGCTGATCACGAGTAGTGTGAACTGCTTGACCAGTTTCCTTGCGGGCTTTGTCATATTTTCTGTACTAGGGTGAGTACCAAAAAATCGGAAATTGAGGTTCACCCAAATTCTTGGTTTGTTTACAGCGTGGCGACGAATAACTGTTACCCAGTTTTTTTTTGAGAAATAAAAGGGTCCTTTAAAGATTTTGCGAAAAAAGTATTTTATTGATAATTTTCCACAGATTTTACTTTAGTTGCATTAATTAGTTTTTAAATTTTAATCCTTATTTACATTTGGCAGCAGTGTAAACTTTGAGAGAAAAGTTCATTTGGCACGCAAGTCTTTTTCCGGTGTATTTTTTCTTAGGCTTTGTATAAAAAAAGTACAAAAAAGAAAAAAACTGTATAAGGTTGGTCGAATGAATGACCGTCCTAGTCACCAGTTCCGAGTCTATTCGATTTTTGAGTATGAGGCCTTAGGTTGGACAGAAGGGGGAGTATAAGGGACTCAAAATGGAGAAAATTAGCCTATGGTTACAGAAGATAATGAATAAATTAACTGACGAAGACCTGCGTGCCAAATGAACTTTCCTCTCAAAGTTTACACTGCTGGCAAATGTAAATAAGGATTAAAATTTAAAAACTAATTAATGCAACTAAAGTAAAATCTGTGGAAAAATAACAATAAAATACTTTTTTTGCAAAATCTATAAAGGACTCTTTTATTTCTCAAAAATATCTGGGTAACAGTTATTCGTCGCCACGCTGTACATTACTATTTCATAAAATTTATTTAGCAACCAAAACTCTACTTTTAGTTAAATACATACATACATATTTTGGTGCAGAAAAAATCAGAACGTATATTCTTAATCCCTACCTTAGTGCTGGAATGTCTTTACAATTTGGAATTCGTTAAATGATATTCATTCGAAATAATATAGGAACAGCGGAGGAAATACTGTGCTTTGCTTAGAAATCTTTGGCTCCTTTTACCTTTATTTTTGCTCAGTACAATGAGGCTCTTTTTACCTTATTAAAGATATTCACGACATGAAGCAACACTACTTTAGGTACTCTGAGGAGGTCAAATATCTTGGTATAGTCCTTGTTAAGAGACTCAGTTGAAACTCCCAAGTCGTTACAAAAGCTGTTGCTGTAAATGTTGACTTTGCTATCGTTTACAGGATAAACCTAGAAAAGGGTTTGCAATGCATTTTCTTAGTCTCATTTAGCCTTTCTTGTGACTTATAATTACGAGTGGATACACTCACAAAGCGGAAATCTATGGGGAGCCTAAGACAGCACAGTCATTTGGTTTATCCTTTCTCTCAAATATAGCCGAGTTAGTCTAGCTCTTTTAGACAGAATGCCGACTTTGCTTTGGGGACGCCGAGACTTAGTAACTAGGGTGTTCCATTATTCACCTGTTTTCAAAAACCAATTTCGAATTATTCTGTTAGTTTTATTTTACATATATTCTTTAGAGTAACACCTACTATTAGTCAGAAATCATGACCAAAATTACAATATGATTGCTAAAAATAGGTAAAGCTTTAATTTAGAAATCAATAAGTCAAAATAATTTCGAAGTATTTTTGATTACAAGTAAAGCAGGGTGAAAACAACAATCTTCTGATGGAAAAAACTCGAGCATGTAGAACCGGCTGTCTTGGGAATGAGAATACACTATCCGCTGAATCAGACTGACTATACAAATATAGTCTATTAAAGACAACGCGAGAATCTCAATAATTCGTAACAAACCGTTGATCCCTTCAAAAAATCTCGTTAATTCGCCAAATTTTTATACATTTTAGTCTCCATGTTTCAGTAATACGACCAACATATAGAGCATTCACGATTTAGTAGGTCATGTTTTTGGGGTTTACAAAGAAAAGCATTTCTCTCCATTCTACGAATAAATACCTTGGGGCTAGAGTCAATGTATTATTTTACATAAACATTAACTTTCAAAACCTCTTCTTCGTTTCCAGGTATATGGCACATGTGCAGAAAACTTCGATCGATAAAGTCGGACTGGAGGGCCCTGGTCTCGTGTTCATAGTCTACCCGGAAGCGATTGCCACTATGAGCGGTTCGGTATTTTGGTCCATAATTTTTTTTCTTATGCTGATCACGCTGGGCTTGGATAGTACATTTGGTGGATTAGAGGCGATGATAACGGCACTCTGTGATGAATATCCTCGGGCCATCGGACGCCGGCGGGAACTTTTCGTGCTGCTGCTCTTGGCTTGCATCTACCTGTGCGCCCTGCCCACTATGACTTATGTAAGTGACATTTATTCGCTATAAATACAGTTTATTTGGTTCTGGCGTTGCGTTATTTTGAAGTAAATATTTTCTGATATTATAAGCAATGTAGTTTTGTTGCGCCATCCGTAGAGCTGATTGATGATTGATGATGTGTAACGCTCAAGTTCTGAATTTCGTTTAATCATAAAAGAGCAAATTTTTTCTTGACGATGACTTAACGTGGAAAAATGTTTGGCGCTTTTAACGTGGTTTGAATGCTTGCCTTACCACCATTAGCAAATTTCCACATTACCTACAATGCACTTCATGATCATTTTTACCATTTTGTAGATGAAGCGATTCTAAAAGATTTACCCATTAAGGACTGAAAAAGTGCATCCCTGCATTAGCATTACAAATAGGATTAAATCTATAAATAGGATTCAATAAGAATTTTAAGTCGCAATGAAAAATATTTGATCTGAACCTTAAATATTTAAATTCCCTAAAGAAGAAGAAGAGAAAGCTTTAAAATAACTTCTTCGAAAGGCCTTCAGAAGTACGTCTTACTAAAGCCCTTCTGGAAGCACTTCTTTGAGGACACTACGACAGTTTGTTTAAATCAGGACAAATCCTGGACAACCAGGACGTCTGGCAGCCCTAGTTTACGTGCGTTATGTTATTTAACTATGCATAAACATATGTACATTAGGGTGGTCCTTAAATGTAGAAAGCACATTTTTATATCAGATTTCCTAAGCCCCACGTTGATGCTCTATAGTCGAAGATATCACATATCAATTTTGGTCCCGATTGATGTCGGGTAAAGACGTGTCGCTCAGAGGTGAAAGTTAAGATTACCCTATGAAAACGTCTTAACCGGGACCAAAATTAATATGTGATATCTGTGACCGTGGTATTACGATTGAGAGGGTGAGACTGAAAAAAAAATCCTTCATTTGATTTTAAGGACCACCCTATGTGCATGGTAGATTCATGTTTTTTTTTTAGATTCAAAAGTCTGTTGTGTGACCCATGGCCCATAAACATCGGAAAAGTTAAATAACTTTGTTCAGATATACATAAAAAAGGTCACGCGCATAATGGTATTTCACTTTTTAATAACTCGATAAAAATCGACCTTGTTCTGTGTTCACTTAAGAATGCCAAGCACGGAATAGAAGTAACGAAAATAAGTAGTGTCTTGAAATTTTACAAAAAGGTTTAAAAATCGAACGTAGGAGATTTATACCAAAATCATTGCATTCCACTTGTCAGAATCCGAAATATAACGGGATAACAAGTAATTTATTCCAAACTAATTTTGAGTCGCTAATTCCGAATATACCCTTTGTTTTTTTATTGGACTATAGTTTTGGACTGTCCTATTTGCTGTAATAATTGGTAGACATGGATTTTCCAAATGGCATTGGATGCTTTAGAAGGTCACATGATGTAGAACGCGTATCTAAGTACTTTAGTAGATTTTCTGAAAACTTACAAATTAGGGTGACACCAAAGGCTTAAACAAAATAAAAATAATAAAAAAATCAAACCCTAATATGAGGCCGTGAGAGCAGAAGTGGCCTATTCAAAGTATTTCCCAATGTAATATATTAAAAAAGTCACTTATTCGTTTCAAAAGTCGATTATTCATAAATTTTAAGGTACAAAGCATCGTAGACTACCTTAAAATTAAGTAATAAGCAACTTTTTATTTGCCATTTGTGCCTATTTTATGTAGTTAAGAAAGAATGTTGGGTAAAACCACCTCTGCTCTCACGGCCTCATATAAACAAACCTAGGTACAGAAACACATGCAAGTATTTTACTACTAATTTATTTAGGTATTTACTTGATTGTCCTAATTAATTTGGCGCAATTTTAACGGACAGCACTCAAACGTTAACCTATTTACCCACTACATTTATTCATTTATCCTGCAAGTCAATCAGGCCAAAGTGTATCTTTGCTTGCCACTAAACTCGCGAGCCACTCAACATCTCTGTGACGTTTATCGAATGAAATGAAAATGCCTGTTTTAATGCCTTATGCTTATTCGCAATGCGTTAACTCTATCATGGCCAGCATAAATAAATTTCGCACTTCTTTCATACACATCTCACCCCGTCTTTCGCCGTTTTCTACATGAATGTAGTTATGTAGTCAATAATTTTCTTCTCTACGATTCACCTAGGTGCTATTTACTGATTATTCGTTGCTGATTTTATTATTCGGCAACGTACCGGTCAACTTAAGTGGCTTCCATTGTACTGTCAATTGTGTTGTCTGTACTCGCGTGTGTGTGTCTTATCAGTAGTCGCACGCCTTTGTTTACTTCCTTTTCCGCCGTTTTTCTTTTAGCCATGCATCCATGTTTAGCGCCATTTTTAACACCTGTCAGCATCGGTAAACATCAGTCGTTGTTGATTTTATTTATTGTTGCCTTTATACAGGCAACCACTTGTCTAAGCAGTCTTTCTATTATTTTCCGATAATAAATGATTCCCCCTTTTACGCTGTGGCTGTGCCGGCCTAAAGCTTAGACGGGTTGCAGAGAAGGGATAATAGACATTATCACTCTCTTTGATTACATTAGAAATTATAATTTCATGCATTTAGTAGCGTTTCAATCGATGTGAGCATAATAAGTGGCTGCTCTCCCTTTTGCTATACCCTACATATTTTCACAATTTTAGTGCTTAGGAGAGTAGCCAAAGAAATTTTGCAGACATGTTAGAATGAGCCAAATTGGATCACATATGTATTCACAGAAGGCATAACTACAAGTCTGTATGAGGTTTTGGATCAAAAATGTTGCGAATAACAATTTCCTTATATTTATTCTTACCTCACATTTCTTGAGGGAGTTCGTAAAAAATGAAACCTACATATATATGAGCGCCCTATTTTGAAAGTACCATAAATCACTTCGTACCTCTTGTGCTTAAATGACTGTCTACTTGTAACCGAATGCATTTGTAAATCGTCAAAAACGAACGACAAAACCTTCTTCCTTTGGTTGGTGAAGCGAATAACCGACGCGCTCAGATACAAGTAACCTGTCGTTTAAGCACGAAAGGTGTAAAGTGACTTATGCTACTTTCAAAATAAACGGCTCGTACATATATATTTACATACAAATATAAATTTCCTGCCAGCAATTCCATCGTAGAAAATTTCGAAACAACATTTTTGTAATATTCTTCGCCGATGAGATCGAGTTTTTTCGAAGTCTATCCGCTGTTGAGATAAAATTTTCCATCAAAACGCCAGATACTGCAAAATAAAAATTTTAATTTTCTAGATTTGCTCTATTAATTTTAAACTTTTGTGACGCAAAAGTGTTCTTAAGTGTTCTACGAGCCCTTATCTTTGTATTCGGATACGTGTTAGCATTTGTCTACGGGTTCATATTCCTCATTTGTATCCGCATTCGTCTTGTGATTCGTTTTCATATTCGTATAGGTATTCATCCTTGGGTTCCATAACCATAACCATAACCATCATTTGTTCTGATCAAACGTATAGGCAGCTCTGTAAATTATTATACTCACGGACGTAAAATCGGAGAACGCTGACAGCTGACACCGCCTACCTTATGAGAGGGCTATGTAAATGAAAACTCAACAACGTGGAATTTTTCGGTGGACGGAGGCACAGTCGTAGAAATCCGCGCGAAGTTGATTTTTTCCGTAGAAAGGTATCAGCTGTTGGTTCTCTCTCACATACTCCTCTGGCAAGACTGCTATCCAACAATTTTTGATATTATTACAAAATACATGTCGAAGTTCATCACGTTAACGAATTGGTTTGATCCCGAGTAAGCGTCGCAACATCACAGGCGAGCAAAGATTGCATATGGTACCAAAATGGGCCTTTCTTGGCGTATGTGTAAGGGGAGTCACTCTCTCTAGCCATTTCAACCCAACCTAACCTACAAAATAAATTTAAAAAAAAGACGTAAAATATTCTTTAAAAAGTAAAAACTCCAACCAGAACAAATTAAATTGAGGAATGAGATATTATTTACATGCGATATATTCAGAATAATACCTAAGTGAAATGGTAAATTATTGTAGAAGTACGCATGCATTCTGCTCAATGGTAATAAAAACACACCATTTCGAACAATTGCTACTTTGGACTGCAGAGGCAATTGAGAAGTAAAGCACTCTCTCGTCATACAAAAATCAGACTCTACTAAAAATCACTCATTAGCACGGGCATGATGTGCTGGTGTATGGCACAGAAGCATGGACTGCTCTTGGAGTGTTCGATATAGCCATAGCCATGATTAAAATACAGCGGCTCCGCTTGCTCGGCCGTACTGTACGAATGGACAGAGATAACACAATGCTAGTAACAGAAGAAGAAAGAGACCTTATTTGCGAAGGAAGGACCGGGTGGAGAAGGATTTGGCATTTGCAATTAGCGTCAATTGGCACAGGAGAGAAATAGCTGGCGTGCTTTATTAGGCTCGGCCAGAATCACTTACGAGGTTACAACGCCAATCAAGAAGAAGAAGATATATTTTTGAGGTTGCTGATTACGATTCTGTATGCAACTTTAAAATTGCAAATGGCAGATCCAATATGAAGGAAAATTTGTTGGACAAGTCGTTGAACCTCCATTATGTTCCATATGACTGAATTTCTGAAGTCACCGAATATAAGACTAAGCATGCTCTGATACTCTGTAGCGTACGCCAATGAGAGTAACACCCTTATTCTAGAACCCGAATTTTGTAATTCGTAGCTTCGTTACGAAAATCGAAAAATCGGCATGCTGCAACCCTAGTGGAAATCAGTTGTTTTTCGAAGGCAGCTGTATGAAGGAAAACAAACTGGAACGGAATTAGAAAAACACTCTTCAAGTGCTTATTTATAGTAAAATTGTTTGATTTTACATATTTTGAAGGAAACGATGGATTCTATTGCATTTGCAATTATAGCAGCAATGATAAAAAAAATTCTTTGCTTACTTCGATTCTCCACAGAAAAGGTCCATATACTAAATTAGGACTAATACTTTCGAAGATACTTGCAATTTTAATGAGAAAAATGCATTAAGTAATGTATTTACTAAATTTTATTTTTTTAACACATTGAACTTTGATGGACTTGGGCGAGCCTAAGACCAAAATAAAAAAATTGACCAAAAATAGTCATATTTCACACAGATTGTTTTTAGAGCATAATGAACCATATGTTTGCTATTGCCAATCAAATTTCTAAAAAAGCGGATTTTCGGCCCACGCTAATGTACAAGGTCAGCACTAACATTGTCGATGACGGTTCAGAGGTGGATTTTTATATTTAATTTTTCTGAAAATTGGAGATAGGTTGTATTTAAATATAAGCCCTGGATATGTAATTAAATTTCATTATCCAGTACAATATATGTATTACATACACATTTTATTAAATTCATCCATTTTTAGCAAAATATTTAACATTTTTATTTGCCATTTAAAAATGCCATAATATTTTTCCAGGGCGGCGTTTTCTTGGTTAACTTTTTGAACGTTTATGGACCTGGTCTTGCCATATTGTTTGTCGTATTCGTGGAAGCAGCTGGCGTTTTTTGGTTCTATGGCGTCGACCGTTTTTCAGAGGACGTGGAACAGATGTTGGGCATTAAACCAGGCATTTTCTGGCGCATCTGTTGGACTTACATAAGTCCGGTATTTTTATTGGTTGGTATTGGGCGACTTGAGCTCCAGCAAAATCTATCACACGCTTAAAACTAAATTTTCCCATTTTTTCCAGGGCATTTTTATATTCTCCATACTCGGCTATGAAGATATGTTGGGCGAGGAATATCAATATCCCGAATGGAGCATCAAAGTCGGCTGGGCCGTCACTTGTTCCTCGGTGCTCTGTATACCCATGTACATCATCTACAAATTCGTATTTGCGTCCAAGGGTGACTGTAGAACGCGTTATCGCAACAACTTCAAAGTACCACCACGGTGCGGGTCAGTGTTGCCGGGACAGCAGGGCACCACGGTGTGACATGATTCAGCAGAAGCAAAGCAATCAGCGCCACCGACACTTGGTGTGGCGTGGATGAAGCGGATGGATGGAGGTGCGGATGCGGCAGCGGAGAGCAAACTTAATAAAACTTTTATAGAAGCAACTAAATCCAGTAGTAATTGTAGCTTGGAACGTTTAGCGTCTGTGGGATGGAGTTATTCGCCAACAACAACCAAAACAACAACAAAACTAGCAAAACCAACAAAAAACACAACCTATGAAACAACAAATAACATAATTGATTTAAACAGTTACTATGCATATTACACAAATAATCTTAATTATGGTTACATATATGAAGTTTCGCCGAAAAATAGCGATGAAAGAAATAGTGTTAACGCATTCGATGATGAAAATATACAACGCAATGTGCCTCACTTGGAATGGACGTTTCGACCGAAACGTTTGGAATGTGTTGACTCCAACGAACCAACGAGTGAGGATAGTCACAGCGGCATCTATGAGGAAGTGTTGAATTCGGAGTGCACTGAACACAAAAGCCCCAATGCAAGCCTAAAACAAAACCAAAACACTGATATTAATAGATTAAGTTATAAATATGCCAGCAATGTTGCGGATGAAAGTAGCAGTAGTAGTTATAGTGTTAATGTGAATGGTAGTGCTAATGTTAACATTAATGCTAATGATAATGTTAAATGTAATTATGTTAGTGGTTCACAGAGAGTAGCAAACATTTGTAAATTAAATACGACTCACGAAATTGCTGAGGACAATAATTATGCAATGATACTCAGCAGTTGCAAACCGCTTAAGTTCTCATTTGCCAGCGAATGGTTGGTTTAAATAAAAAATACATATGTATGTATATGTCAATGTATAATAAAATTAATTGCGCAAAGAGAATAACAACAATAAAATGCAAGCGGTGTAAAATTAAGTATGGTGCAATTGATTGATGGTAAGATAAGAAGCGAGCTTACAACAATTTAGGGTATTCGAAAGTTGTGTATAGGGAAAACTTAGCAAAACAGCCATTTGCTGAGTTTTCCATTATGAAATTTGTTGGAATTGTATGTATGTAAGTAGTATATGCTTGACTATACATATGTATGTGTGTTTGTAAATATTCATGTATCGATGCACTTTTTCTACAAAAAATTATACGTAATTTTGTATGAATACGATAGGCCTAAGAATATGTTTTGTATGCAAATGTTTTTTTTTTCTAAAATTTTACAAATTGTTGTACTGCAGCATTTATAAATGCCTATTTGAGTGCTATTGTCAAATACCTACTTATATATGTACATATTGGTACAATATAAAAAATACCGTTACATTGCAAGTGTTTGTTATCCAATGAAATGCAATGCATTTTTATAATTGTATGATTAAAATTGAGTGTGCAATAATAATTAATTTAATACTAAAAATTAAAATCAAATATTATAAATGCATATATAAAAAAGTTTTTTCAGCAATGGTAACAAATGCTTTTAAAAAAACAATATGCGTAATTTGCATAAAATGATAAATATGGGAACAAATAAACTGTATTCAGCAAAAACCAAAGCAAGCCACACCCATACTTAACAAGTAAATACACACTAGTTACATGTTTTATAATTTTTTAAGTAAATTTTATTTTGTATAGTTTTTGGTACACATAAATTACATTAATCGGTCCTATATTTATTAAATTTGTCCCTTTTCACATACATACATATGTTAATGTTAGTTTTAGTAAGTAAGTAATTCTAATTTTAAAATCTAAAAAAAAATGTTCAACAATTTTTTTTTTGTACAAACTGAAAGCTAGGAAAATAATTGCAAATCAGCCATTTTGCAGCTATTTTCTGTATACTAAAAAAAATGTCATTTTTATATTTCTTAATAAATATAATTTTTTTTTACAAGTTTGAAATCGAGTTTTCATAACTAATATTATAAATGTGAAAGTTTGTGAAGAAGTAGTCGGATTTCTGCGAGCCCGAAAGAACAACTGATGAGGATTGTCAAGAAGCTGCATAGAACAAAGATGCCGCGTGCAGGGGCGCGCTACGATCGGACGCAACGCGAACCATGTGGGACCGTATTTGCCGTAATAAGAAGAGAGAGGCCGAAATACGTAAGTGCGAAGAGCTTGATATACTGGTGGACAGACTGGTAAAACGCACGAAAATTGTATCGGAGAGTTAGGCGACTTGCGTAAAGTTTCAATAGCAGGGCGAACTCCTGTAAGAACAACCATGGGGACCTAGGGACCGATGACGTGGTACGAATAGCGATTATGCAGCTGAAAACCAACAAAGCTGATGGAGCTGCCGGCCTGCCAGCCGAGCTATGCATCAACTCTTATGCAGAATATGGTCAGATGAACTCATGCCCAATGACTGGAATTTAAGTTTTCCCTGCTCAATCTACAAGAATGGCGATCCCGCCATACGCTCCAACTACCGTGGATTGGACCTTATTAGTCTGGATTTCCTGGCAAATCCACCATAGACCAGATATTCACAATACGTTAAATCTTGGAAAAGACCCGCGAGAATAGGATCAAGACACACCATATATTTGTCGATTTCTTGTTGTCTTTATGCCACGATGTCTGAATTTGGTATCCCTGCGAAACTAATACGGCTGTGTAAAATTACGTTGAGCACCAGCTTCATCAGAGTTCGTAAGGACCCCTCCGAACCGTTTGATACCAAACGAGGTTTCAGACAAGGTGTCTCCCTTTCATGTTATTTTTTTTTAATCTGATGTTCTCCTTCTTCTTATTTGGCACTACAACCGTTTGTCGGTTTGGTTCGAGAACAAAGAACTTCGCCAGTGGCTTCTCTCCTTCGCAGATTTGCTCCAGATGTTCACCCCAATCGTTGTATTTTTATGCGCCTCACTATGCAATTGCTGGCGTATGCGGACGACGTCGTCAGTTGCCTCCTCGGGATTAGATAGATAAGCAAAACGAATGGGTCTGGTGGTGAACAAGGCCAAAAGAAAGTATCTACTGTCATTACACAAACACTCTTGGCATCCACGTCACTGTTGACAGTTACAAGTTTGAAAAAGTAGACGACTAGAGTCCGACCGATGCCGAGGCTAGTATCGACCAAAAGAATCGAAGTCGGCCGTTATTGGTCGATTCTTGAATGACGTATTGCTATTTAGTTATTTGATTATGTGTTTCCTTTGTTATTACTTATAAACATTTATAAAAGCTTTTGTTCTTGAAATGAAATTATATTCAGAATTTAATCGGCAAAAAATCGGTCGATGTTTCGGCCGATTAAATCCTGTATTAAATTCATTTCAAGAGTTTAAGTTTATAATAACAAAAGAAAAACATAATCAAATAACTAAATAACATAACTTGATTCAACAATCGGCCAAAAATGGTCGATACCGAGATTAGTATAGGTAAAAAGAATCGGCATCGGCAGTTTTTGACCGGTCGGACTCTAAAGACCACTTTGTTCATTTGGGAACCAGCATTAATATCAATAATAATGTCGGCCTTGAAATCCAACCGAAAATGACTCTTGCCAACAAGTGCTACTTCGAACTCAGTAGGCAATTGAGAAGTAAGATCCCCTCTCGTCGTGCAAAACTCACTCTCTATAAATCACTCATCATGCCCGTGCTGGCATATGGCGCAGAAGCATGAACAATGACAACATCGGATGAGGCGAGAGTGCGGAATGCTGAGCTGTATGAACTTTACAACGATATGGACATAGTGCAGCGAATTAAAATACAGCGGATCCGCAGGATAGGTCATGTCGTTCGATTGAACAGAAACGCTCAAGCACTGAAATATTTAACGCGGGTCCTTTCGAAAGGGAGGTAGAGAAGGACTTGGCTTCACTTAGCATTTCCAGGTGGCCTCAGTTCACACAGAAGAGAAACGGATTGGGTGCTTTGTTGCACTCGGTCAAAATCGCTTAGGCGGTTACAGCGACAATCGAGAAGAAAAGATATTCGCAGTTAAGTTTGGGTCTTCAAAAAATCTCCTGCTAGAAATCTGAGCTTATGTACTAGCCGGTTCGGGGCTTCGCCACGCGCTGAATGTGTAGATATTCAGCCCTATTCTGCATTTCGATTACTTTCCCGCATTCCGCTCCGCTACAATCGTAATTTGGTATTCTGCGTTACGTTCGAATCGAACGAAGAAGAGGAAGAGCAAAAATATCTTCGAAATCAGCTGGTTGCCTAGGAATGTGTGAAATCGAAACGTAACAAAAGAAATAATTGCACCAAAATATAGCAGCTTATGAAGTTAAAATTTGTAAATATTTAAAATAACTAAATATATCTTACTCATTTTAATTTCAAAATAAAATTTCGTTTGTTCTTAATTAAAGTGGAAACATAATTCAATTGCTTGAAGAGCAGAACGAGTCCCAGATTTCTGATGCGATGTTGAATGGCGGAGATTTAGAGACATGTTTGATCCTTTTCAGATGAGTGAATAATTATAAGAAATTCATCTTGAACTGCATTCTCACCGCTCAAAGCCAATGAAATTATAAACGTTGTTTGAGCACTCCACAACATTTGCATTTAGTACAGTAGTATGTTATATAAAAATTATTGTAATTAATGTTATTGTAGTATGTTATATTGAAAGAATAAATTGTATTCAGTGCATTTCACAGTCTTATTTATAGATAATGAAAACAAAAACGCCTGGACTTCCTCTTTGAAAACCCTGCGCAATATAAGGGATAATGGGAAGGGCCATTATTTGAGCCAATTTTTCCTATTGCCCGTATTGCTGCTCGCGAAAACACAGAAATCGAGAAAATTCATTTATGATGACTTTTACAATCATGCACAATATATTTCACTTAATTTTTTTATAAAATTTTAATATTTAAACCCACGAAAATAAGAATCGAAACGTTCTCCGTCAACACATTGGCAACTTAGAAAAACGTAACTACGATCGAAATGTAGAATAGGTACAATCGTAAATTTCGAAGATTGATCGAAACGAAACGGAACGCAGAATACCAAAGTTGCCAAAC